GGGGGAGGTGGGGGGGCGCGCGGGCCGGGGGCGCTTTCTTCCCAGCAGGCCGGCACGCGGCGGCCGGCTGCTCGCGGCAGAGCCCTCTGGGGAGCCCGACGAATACACCCGCCCCCTTCCTGCTTTTGAAGCTCTGGCGTCCGCGGGGAGGGTCACGCCTGTGTGCCGCCTGCCCCCCATTCCGGCGGCGCCCCCCCCCGGGGGAGACCGCCGCGCCAGCGAGACCCTGCACTCCGCCCTCTCCGCGGACGGGCTCGCGGGCGGCCCCTTCCGGAGCTTCCTGGAGTCCCGGGGCCGGGCCCCCGAGCTGCTGGGCCTGGGCCTGTGGCAGGACATGGACAGCTTCCTGCACCTGCTGCTGAAGCTGCAGGACGGCTCGGGCCACACCCTCCGGCAGGTCATCGCCGAGAGGATCGTGGGAAAATACCTGAGCCAGGACGGTGCCCAGCGCCCCCTCCTGGAGAGGGACACCGCCAGGCAGCTGCGGAGACTCCTGCCCACTGGGCAAGTCACCCCCTGGATACATGTGGCCAGGAATGAGATCGCTAAGGTATAAACGCACGGATTCATGTTTTTACCTTCTGGAGTCATTTAAGTTTGAGAGTTCTTTTGGAAGCAAAAGGCTTTTTTTTTTTCCTCCAGCGTGCGGTGCATCGCTTGACGTCTGTCTGCTTTGCTGCACTCTTGCAGGTCCTCTGCTCCTCCTATGACGCTTTCCTGGACGACGAGGATGCGCAGTTCCTTTCCCTTGTGGTAACTCACCGATTGTCCGCTAACGGGGAATCCGATCAGTGTGCTTCCACTCACAAGGTCTGCTGGGGGTCCGCCTCCTGGTGGTTGTAACTAGAGCACAGTCAATGCCGTTGACCATGAGATCTTGTCAGCTTTCTCAGAAACCTGCAGGCAGACAGCAAGCGTTTGCTCGTTTTTAACGTGTGGCGTTTCTGTTGCTTTTCTGTCGATTTTAATTACGGACGTTAAACCATAGTGCCAGCCAGGGAGCACAGCCGGGTTATTGGGCCTTAGTGGAATCTCTTTTTAGAAGCACCAACAGGCAAACGAAGGAAACTAAACGGAGGAGTAAAATGTATATTGCGGTGATGTGCATGATGTTTAATCCATGAACTCCTGCCAGGAGTCGTGCAGGAAATCCTGCTCTGCTTGTGTGCGAATTCGTACTGCTGCCGAGATTTATTCCGTGTAACTACCAAGCAGCTACTGCGTGTGCTGAATGTGTGTTAAGAAGTGAGACGTGATGAACTTGCTTGATTCCAAGCCGGTTCTTTTTTTAAAGCCTCTTCGGTGCTATTTTTATGGAGCACTACATAAAGCTAAGTAAGCAGGAATAAAAAATCCCCGAACAAACAAGCGACAACATGCTCAGTTTGCAAGAGCTGGCGATAAAGAGATGTTTATAGGTTCGTAGAATGTGACATTGCTGATGTTCTGCAGTTAAAACAGGAGATAAAACCTGTGCGTTGCTCATTTCCGGGAATTAGGGCTATAAATGCTATACACAGTCTATCTGTGCCTTTTGATTGTGTTTTCTTCAGTGCTTGCCCCAGTGCAACAGCATTTTAAACCCTGTGAGGCCGAGAACCAGAGCTGCACTTCCCCCTGGTGGGGTGAAGCCGGAGCTACAGGTGAGGAGAATGAGAGAGGCCCTGGCGCTGTGCCAGGCCTGCTCCTTCTCGGGGGAGCCTGGCCTGTTGTCTGAGGACACCTGGGACTTAATGGCGCTGGAGGATGTCAGGAGAGGAGGATCGGTCCACCTGAACTACAGAAAGACCAGTGAGAAACGCCGTCTGTTTTTTTTTCTTCAGATTTATTCCTTTGCCACATTCCCATTTTAATGAATGAATTAAACCACCTCCAAAGTGAAGGTGAAAGGGATGCCTGTTTTTCGGGATCGGTCAGCGTCGTGGGGGGGGGTCCCTGGTTTCCTGGATGTGGCTGTTTCGGCCAACGTAAAAGAGGCGCCGCTGGGAAGTGATAATAATGATAATGTTTCTTTATGAATTATCCTATACAATTTCTTGCATTAGGAATTAATCTTTTCGCATACCCCAGCTTTTTCTCCATGGAGACACAGACAGGGAGAGAAGCTGGGGGTCAGAGCACAGGGTCTGCCATTGTACAGTTAGGGTTAAGTTAACTGACCTTTAAGGGTTAACTGCCGTGGAGCAGTTAGGGTTAAGGGCCTTGCTCAGGGGCCCAACAGAGTAGGATTTCTCTGCCAGCCGTGGGATTTGAACCGGCAACCTTCCGGTCACAGGCGCAGATCCTGAGCCACAGAGCCACCGCTCCCTCCCGAAAGCGTGAGCTCACCCCTCTTCCTGCGTCTCATCCTGTGTGTCTGCTGCTGCCGCAGGTGTCCTGGACCTGCCCTTTGAGGAGCTGGCCCTGAGACACCCCAGGCTGGCTGCCCAGGAGCTCAGTAAGAACTACAGGCTGTTCTACACCAGAAAGCCCCTCCTGGGTACGTCCGCCCGCCCTCAACGCGCCGCCTCTGACGTTCCTCACGGGGCAGGGAGAGGGTCTTCTGTGGGCGAAGGCGTGGGGGAGTGGGGGCCGTCGGGGAGACAGCGCGGGCCCCCCGGCTTCCACACGCATCTCCACAGCTCCAGTGGCACGGAGCCCCAAGGCGATGTGGAGGTCTCGGCTCAGGCCTCCGTCCGCCAGTGACACCGCGGGAGGAGGTCACCGTCTTCCCCCTGTCCCCCTTCCGGGGAAGGCGTGCCGGAGCCCCCTGTCCCGAGGGAGGAGGATGCAGGAAGGGACTGCAGGGCAGAAGGAGCTCTGTGACCCTGGGTTACCCCCTGCCTGGGTCCCACGGCGACGAACAAGGGCTGGGCTTGGGGGACGCAGGCTCCTGCCACAGGGCTGTCATTGCAGGGAGGTTACAAAGTCTATATCTGGGCCTTGTCGGGAATTAGCTGTGTGACGGGGCGAGCAGAGTGCAGTTCTCGAGCACGTGTGTTCCGGCGTCTGCAGGTTGTGTGCGTCAGCGAGTTGAATGGCGCGCTTCCTGCAAAGAGTGTGTCCCCTTTGGGTCAGCTCCCAAAACACACTCTGGGATTCATTTCAGTTCCTGTAAAGATAAGAAAGCCTGATGGTTTCCAAGCTGCTACACAGCTTCTACCTAACTGGAAAACACTGGGGGGGGGCTGAAAAGCACATACAATAGCAGCCAGTTAACTGAGAAAAGGTTCAACCAATTCTTGGAAACTGAACGCTATAACTTTTTAAAATGCTGGACGTATGTGCCACATGCACATGTGCCTGCTTTCTGCAGCACCTGAGACATGGTAACCTCACGTCCTGCCCTGATGTGCTGATGTGTATTGAATGGACTGTGAAAGGACTGTGTTTAAGTGACGCTAAGTGGATTTGAAGATTACCCCGTGCCTTAAGGCTATGTGATTTTAAGTAAAGACCCTATTAACTTTAAGAGCAGTTTCAGAACAGAGCGTTGCCTTACTTGTTACCTTGTTAATGTCAGTCAGCTGTCGGCTGTAAACCATCAGGCTAACAGTTAATATTTATCTGGTGTGTGCTTTAATGTGTTTAAACATTGTTAAAATGGGAAGGTGCACAATTATTTTTGTTTTATGTGCTGGAAAATCAGTGTTGAATTATGCTGAAATAATCAAATTGTGAAATAGATAATCCACTTCGTGCAATTACTGAGAAGGCATTGGTTGTGAAAAACGGGCTCTACATAAAACGTTTTGTGGTTGAGAGTTCCCTCTAGTGGTTGAAGACAGTCAATACAGTTGCAAGATCCTGCGCGTATGCTTTAGTGTTTTAGTGTTGTATGCTTTAGTGTTATTCATTCTCCCTGTTGCTGGTTTGGATAATTTCAGTAAGGTGGTTAAACAAAAACTCCACTGGCAAAATCCTAACCGGCTCCTGTTGATTGACTTGCTGTCCTAGTCCCCGTAGATCCTCAGTGTATTTATGTTAAAAAGACCTAAAACTGATTATGCAGCATCTTCCTTTATATGAACTTCCCTCCCTGTGTGTGTGATCCTGCCACTGATACACCTGAATGTACTATTCCTGCAGTCATGCACAGAATACTTCTTAATGCCGACTGCAGGGAACAGCTCCAGGCAGCATAAACATCGCAGCTCAGTGCCCTGAGATTGCAGGCTGTGCCATTATAACATGCGTCCACTCCTCGTGTACTGACCTGTGGCCTTGAGGAATGCAGAAAAGCAAGTTTTATTGAAAACCAGTCTGTGGCATTGCCTTTCTTTTGGGTCAGAGTTGATTTTTGGAAATAATAGGACACAGGGATGTATACCATTCTGCATTTGGATTTGTTTATTTTATTCCCTAGCAAGCGCAAAATCCAAGCCAGTAGCAGCCAGCGTTTTCTTAAAGAAGACCAACCTTACTTTCATGAAGAAAGGCAACAGCATTGTTCGGAGGCCATCCCTGAGACCAAGGTACAAAGTTCTTTCATTCTTCTTCAGTTCGTCTGACGATAGAGGCCAGGGACAATGGGCTTTCAGTCCTGTGTTTGAATGAAGTTGTGATGAACGTTCTGAGTTTGTAATCGAACATGTCGGTATTTCATCACAACCCGTCTTGTGCTGTTTCTTTGTGGGTGTGTTGCTAATGAATGGGAAACCTGCTTTCCTGTAGCTCCACTCACTGTGGAGACGTAGAAAGCAGGGGTGTCAAGTTTGCACAGGCGCCTTTCGATGGCTTTGGAAGGTTGTTCTACATGCAGACAGCATGGTGGCGCACTGCCCCACAGCTCTGCAGGGTCTGGGGTCCCTCCCGTGTGGAGTTTACGTGATCTCCCCGTGTTCGTGCGGGTTTAGGACTACCATCCCATCCAGGGTACAGTCCTGGGAGTCTGGGGTGGGCTTGGGACTGCTGATCAGTCCCCCCGAGATCATGGAAACTCGGGGTGAAGACCGACGATGTTGACTGAAATCTGTTGGATCAGAGTTCACTGCAGTCGCAACAGTGACGAAAATTGACCACAACTAACACCTGCCCAGAGAGAGGTTCCTGAAAGCCACTTGTCCTGCAGGGGGCTGGTCTGTCAGTTCATGTCCCAGCTGCCAGCTAGGATGAAGCTAAAAGAAACCTAATTTATATGGGATTCTTATCAAGATATAATGAACCAGATGCTCTGATCCTCAAGAGGGGTGCAGTCTGGAAAATTGCCTTTGAACTAATTTCTGGTACAAATCTGTAGATCAGATCTCTGTAATGTCAAACAGTTATAAAACTGCTGTTAAATTGGAAGCATCAAAGAAACATTAAGTCAGGACCATGAGAAGAGACTATATCAAGGCTAAATCTACTCGCCAGGAGCTTTTTCCTGCAAGATCAACACCTGCATCTCCTCGAGACTGTTGCAGTGCATGGAACTGAATGAGCAGCAGTCACTGGGGAAGGCGTGCTTGTTCAGGTGTGCGCTCTGTCACGTTCTGCCTGTCACCGAAGGTCCCTGGCGGATGTGTTGAGAAACCCAGTGAACCTGGACTTCTTCAAGCGCTTCCTGAAGGCCTACAATGCCCATGGTGCCTTGCTCTTCTATCAGGAAGTGGAGAAGCTCCGGAGCGTGAGCAAGCCCAGAGTCCTGCAGGCCAGGATCGTCAGCATAGTGGACAAGTTCTTCAGCCGGCACAGTGATGTCGGTAAGACCTGTTTTTTAAAATAAAATCAGGAAAGAGTAGCTTGCTCACTCTGGGGGGGGGAGGGAGAGAACAGCTGCCCCAGGTGGAGGAGTTTAAGGACCTCGGGGTCACGTCACGTCACGTCTAGGGGCAGAGGGAATGGTGGGATTGACCAGCAGCGGCTGCAGTCATGCAGTAACCTACCTCCCCATCCGGTCGCTCTCCTCGGGCCATCCTTTCAGTGGCTGGAAGAGCCCGACGGCAGGCACGCGTGGGGGAAACAAGCTGTCCCTGGGGGGCTGCTGGGCTCGCTCCCGGCGCCAGGGGGAGGAGCTCGGCGACCCAGAGAACCCCGGAGTCGAGTCGCTGCTCCTCTGGGTCGAGAGGCTCGGGCATCTGGTGGGGACAGCCCCGGGGCGCCTCCTGCTGGCGTACCAGGCACAGCCCGCTGGGGAGGGTCCCAGGGGCAGAGGGGTGATCTCTCCCGGCGGGCCTCCTTCAGGAGGAGCCGGAGACCGAGGCTGGGGAAGGGAGGTCTGGTCTGCTCAGGGTGCTGCCAGCTCGCCTCTCCCCAGGAGTCAATGGCTTCAGAAACCGGGAGGATAGATGGAGGTTTTGTGGACTTAAACCATTCCACAAACAGGAACAACGTAAGTGAGAGGTCAAGGTTGTCCTTCCGGCGTAACCCCCACTCTGCTGAAACATGTACCTCCTCAGAGGGGTCCCTCCAGTGTGACGCCAGCATCGTCTCTCAGATCCCCAAGATGCGCCGCGTTCCTTTAGACGTGCTCTTCATGGCCCAGGAGCTGGTCGTGAAGTCCCTGGAGGCGAGGTGGTGAGTAACCCTGTCCAGGACCGGTCCGCTCCTGCAGGGGGCTGGAGGCGATATTCTCCCATCCCCCAGGACAGCTGCTGGAGTGAATTCAAATAGCCCTTGCAAACGTCTGCAGCCCGCTTTGCCGATGCTCGTCGCGATGGCGTTTCTCCGGGAACGTTAGCTGGCAGGAGATTTTCACAAAAGGGATAAAAAGAGAGCGTGATGTTTGTAAGATCCCGGCTGCCCTGATGTCTGCCTCTGTGCTGCCAGCGCAGGTTCCAGCAGTACCAGGACACGTTCCCCCCCTGCTCCTCCACGGTCTCGGACACCTGCGACCGGGCGGCTGTGCTGAAGAGCAAACTGGTGAGAGCCCCTCTCCCTCCTTCAGAGGATTGCACTGGCAAAACACTGTCGTGTATGTCAGCCATTTAAAGTGGTTAGTAATAAATTTGTTTGTGTGGTGCCACCAAATTTCCTCAAGTTCCTAAAGTTGCCTTTCACTTATTGCCTTTGGGCCTTTCATACTGAGGTCATGGCAAGGGCATTTGGTTTCCCTGCACAGTGACTTGAGAGAATAACATGAAGGCGGGTCTCGTCTCGGGATGTGATCCCCTGCTTGATTCTAAACCCACTGGCCTGCTCTGGTTTTGTCTAGAAGCGGGTCTGGAGCATCTTTAGCCGGTACATTAAAACTGTCTGCAGATTTCGCAGCGCCATGAAGGACACCCCGACCAGGAGTGAATTCGAGCACTACCTCCGACACAACTTCCGGGACTTCTCAGAAAGTATGTGTGCCGTGTGATACGTTTCAAACCGAAGTGTGTGTAAATTGCTATATCATCATTATGCCATTAAGCTAAGCCATGCAGATGAATTTGGCGATCTGTGGTTAAGATCATGCTAGAGCACTGAAGTGAAGAAGTTAACTATGTTTCTGCTATTCACTGTTTATTATCGACTGTTTTGCAGCAATGTACTGTCTACATTGTGGGGTGTTGTTGGTTGTACTGTGCCTGTCCTGAGAGAACAGCACGAATTAGAATCCCATTGTACATGTGCACACGGCAAATAAACTCCTCTGTCTGTCTCTTTCTAACTGTTCTGCCTGGACAGTCTGATGCTGCTGCCCACAGGGCAGTCCAAGCCCATGGGATGTCAAAGGGGGATTTAGGTCCAGACTTTGCCTTGGCCAGTCCAAAATGTGTAACGTCCTTTTCTTCTGCGGCCGTATTGTGCTTGTGGATTCAGGACGTGTTGTCTTGCTGTGTGGCCTGACTCTCTCCTCCAGTGTCTGCTGGTACAACGCTGAAGTCATAGTTCTGTCAGTGACCTCAAGCCCTCTGGTTCCTGAGGCAGCAAAGCATCCCCAGATAGTCCTGCTGGCACTCTTAAGGCCTGGGGTGGGGTTCTTCCTTTGGGAGGTGGCGTTTGGTGTCCAGCAAATGTGTAGATACAATACAGTGCCAAGGAAAAGTCTTGTTGCATCTGCATGATCTACAGTTCTGATTAAAGAGTATTCTCTGCATACATTAGTCAAATATTTTGTGTCCAGAAGAACTTTTTGGCACACATTAAAAAATGTTTTGTGTGGTGAGAAAAAGGAGTGCAGGGGGTGGAGTCCGGTCCTCAGCGTGAGGAGCAGCTGTGTGTCCCGTGTCACAGAGTCTCTGTTCTCACCCAGCGGGTCTCATCTTGATGAAGTAAGGGTGACAGAGCTGTTGGCTTCAGCCCCCAGCTCGCTGCCACTCTGGTCTCTCGGAGAGCTGCGCCGCTGTGTCTTTCTCAGGTGGCACAGAGCTCGTCTCTGCCCACGACGCCGCCGGGGAGGGAGACCCGTCGCACCTGAGGAGGCGCGTCGTCAACAACAAGTTAATCGCCGCCGGCTTCCTGGTGAACGACCTGTCGTTCTGCCTGGAGACGGAGCGGTACGGGGGCGCCGTTGGGCAGTTCCGCAGCTTCAGACCAGCCCCCTTCCACTGAGGAAGGAGCTGGAGGAAACGAAAATCAGGCCTAAGGGTTTTCTCCCGTTCATTGCTTGTTTTCAGTTGTTCTGACTCAGTGTTTGTGGCACAGCATTCCATTTGCATGCCAGGAAGCCAGAACATGATACTTTGCAAATCCATTGCCTACACAGAAATGCAGTCTAGTTTGGCCCCTGGGCGGCAGGCGCGTGCCTGGGTCTGGTGCTGACGCAGTGCCTCTGGTCCGGGCCCCCCCGGCTGTGCTGCAGGTTTCGGAGCCTTGCGGACGCCGGCGCGGTGATGGCGTCTGTGGGCATGTACGGGGAGAGCGACCAGGCCGTGCTGCAGAGCAAAGCCGACATGATCATCAGGCTGTTCCTGCGGTCCGAGATTGCTCCCAGGCTGAGGGTGGGCCCCGCTCACTGATCCTTTAACAGGGCCCTGTGTCCCGTCGTCCAGCTGCGGCTTACAGAGCTCACACACGGTGGCAGCAGAGCTTCAGGGATGCTGTGTTTCCTAGAGGCTTCTTCCTTCTTTCCAAAGGAAACCCTCCAGCAAGAGCTGGATGGGTAATTAGTGCCATAATTAATGAAGGTAGAAGCTTAGGAATTTCAGTTTCCTTGTGGTGCTGTTTATAGATAGATAGATTATGTGATAAAACGTGTCAGAGTTGCACGCACCTGTTGTTTGAGTTGGAGCGGGGGAATTCACCTGCCTTGTGGAGAAGCCCTCCAGCTGAAATGCCTGTGCCTGTGTCTGTCTCGTCCCCCCGCTGTCTGCAGATTAACATCTCGGAGGTTCAGAGAGAAGCTGTTCTGCAGTCTTTCTCGCAGGGCAAGGTCGACCGCGGCCTTTTCCACTCTGTGTTCGTGACCGTCTTCCCAAACCTCGTCTTTTGCTGGAAAAAGTGAGTTCCTCCTCCCTGCCCCGGAGCGCACGCAAAATAAGCTGTCTGCAGCACTCCCACCATCCACAGCTCACCTCGCTGCAGATTCCAAACTTTCTTCCTAAGGCTGCCAGAGGCCGCTGCGCACACACACACACACCCACCCACCATGTCCACATGTCTCTGCCCGGGTCTGTTCACCCTCAGTGGGATAAACCCACAGCCAAACTGGGAATCTGAAGGAGCTGGAGCCTTTCTCTTCATGAACAGGTCCACTGTGCTCCCAGTGAACCGATCAACATGTCCTGATGCACAGAGCACCAAGTTTAAGAGTTTGTCGCCGCAGTCGTGCCTGAAATGTTTTATGAAGCGGAGTAGTGTTGCACACCATTATGTGTCAGCTTAATTATCCCCTGCTGGAGTTTACCTGCAGCATTACGGCGCAGATTCAATTTTCCAGGGAGAGTGTCTGACTTCTCCCTTCTATAACTTTTAATTGCGCCCTTCTGTAAAAGTCTTGCATTAGACAACTTGTTTTGGAAAGCATTATTTCACACTTCTATTTCTTTGTACCTGGTTTTCCAAGTGCACCTGTTGTTGGACTTGGGTACTGACCAGTTTAGCTGAACGGATCTGTGACATTCTTGGAAAACTGGTCATCAGAACAGATGTTCTGTGATTTGCGTTGATGATGTTCCTATACCACATGTGGCTTTGTACATTTTTGTGTTTAAATCTTTGTTTTCCCCTTGTCTTGACCTTTCTGGTGTGTCTGGGGCTGTGCTTGGGTTGCAGACAGCCGCTTAAAAAATAATTGTATTTCAGAGCAGAGCAAATAAAAAGATTATTGAGGCATTATTGGCCTTTCCGAATCTAAACTTCCTTCACACCCGCACTGTGGCTCCCTGCTTCCCTACCTCTGCCGTCACCTTGACTTGTTTGCTTTGTCAGGTTCTGTTCTCAGAAGGTGATGAAGACTCTGTATGGAGACGCGAGAGAAGTGAAGAAGAAGGACGTTGCTGTGACCCCCAACTACCTCTACCCCACCCTCCAGAAGGACTGGCACAAGAAGATCAAGACCATCCTGTCTGTCACTGGTGAAGTTCTAGCTTCAAGAGGAGCTTGGTTTTCACAGACGAGTGCCGGTTTCCCCAAACTTTGTTAAAAGGAACTGTTTGAAAGCCATAGCTGTCTGGAGCGGCCTGGCATTCCATCCTTATTTTAAACAGTTCTGCTCTGCACCTTTTTGAAGTTAATGAACGCTTGTTATTCTATAACACCCACTCACTTTCCTTCCCTGCTCTGCTGGTTTTGAGTGGTTGGGTGTCAGATCAAATGTTATATATTTCCAAAATGCTAAAACCACCTTTTCAATTAGGTGGAGGTTTATCTTTGCATCTCTTTGCAGAAGTAAACTTTTTCTTTGGGGGGGATTTGCACTGTGACTTCAGACTGTTCTTCGGTTTGCCCTTGATGTCGCCCGGCTCCTCGAGCAGTTCATGTTGAAGGTTTGGTTCCTGCTCTTTCTTGGCAGAAGGCCTTTAACGTCTGGACCCTTCATATTAAGATGGGTGGTTGGCAGGGCCGAGGGCCTGAATGCCAGTCAGTCTGAGGGCTGGCAGATTCGGCACCCGCTGTGTTAGTCCTGGCCGGGCCTGCGTCACGTCAGGGGGATGTGTGCAGTAATGGGCTGCTCTTGTGTGCGCCTCCAGATGAGTTCACCACTCTGAGGTTCACCCTGCATCGCGGCCTTCAGCTCATCCTTCCCCAGGCAAAACTGGACATCAAAGGTGAGGGGTGTTCAGTCTGAGGGGTGTTGGGTGAGGTGTGTTTAGTTCGAGGGGTGCTCAGTTAGGGTTAGGATTATGAGGGGTTTTGGGTGAGGGGTGTTCAGTTCGAGGGGTGTTGTGTGTTTAATACAGAAGGCGACAATGAGCAGTGCTCAGTATAGAAGGTGAGGTGTGTGCAGTATGATAAGAGAGGGCGCCCATACAAAAGATCAGGGGTATTTACCAACTGGAATCTTTCACCAGGATTTTTAACAGCTGAATGATGGTGATCTGCCTCTAACCTCTAAGCGAATAGGTTTAGCCAGCAGGTTTTTTTTTTTGTTACTTGGTAGCATTGTACTGTAATTAACATGGGAACACAATCCAGAGAAAAGAATCTTGTTCACATTCTAACGCCACAGACGTGTTCAGCAGTGAAGCTTGCTGGATGTCAAATAACTGTAACTGTACGTCGATACTCGAACAGCGAGCTGCACGTAGTGTTTTGCCTGGACGTACTTGAAACAGGTCCTTGTAAACACTCCTGCATCTGGCTCAGCCGGGCCAAGGGAAGACAAAGGGGAAAAGTGAATGCCTGATGCCCCAGCTAGTGGAAAGCATCATGGCAATAATACATGCTGATTGATGCTGTCGTCAGAAGGCCTTCATTTCCTTTTTACAAGTGGACAGATAATTCCTTTGTTACTGGCAAGTGTAAGTGTTTATGTATTATCAAGAATGAAGCCTCGTCTTTAGCTTTCTCCCTTCTGCTTAGTTAAATCCTTTCTCTGTTTTAGTTTCTTATTAAACAGGCCTCCGTGTTAAAATTATTTAAAAAAATGTACAAATCGCTTTAAATTGCTTTAGTGGACAGGAAAGGGTTGACAGAAAAGGGGACTGAGATTTCAGCCCTGATTATCTGGAGCTCACCTCACTACAACACCGTCCTGACTGTTCAGCAAAACGTTACAAACCCGTCTTATGTAGGCGAGGAAAAAGTGAGGACTTGCTTGGAATTTAGTAATTCTGTTGAATTAAAACAACTTTCTGAATCTGATAGAGCTACGTTTCCTTGCAATGTGCATGTGACAATTCAGACAACTTATCAAAAATGTTTTTGTTTCTCTTTAGTGTGTTCCAGTGTCATCGCCCCAACAAAATCCCCCAGCCATCATCTCTTGGTTTCTCCCACCAGCCAGGCTGCGGAGTACGTCTGCACTTCCTTTTCGATCGCTAGACTCAGTCACTATACATCTGTGCATCCTGGGAATCTTCCTAAGTGGCAGGGAGACATGCAAGCTGAGAAATGAGTCCTTATTCTTCAAGTGTACAGTACCTCTGAACAGACAGAAAGCTATTAAAACTGCCCCTAAGGAAATGTGCGAGGGAAGCAATTGAAGAGCACACAGTACTCTGAATCCCACTGGTTCACTGCAATACAGCCAAGCGTGCGCAGCACAAATACCATTGATCATTTTCTTTTCCTTCAGATATTTAAATAGGACTTACTGTAGAAAATGTAAGTCTGTATTTAAGTTATAATTATGATAATGTTTTGTTTCAGCAGGCATGCTCCACCTGAATTGCAGAGCAAGCAAAGGGAGCCTGTTGTGCAAGTACACAGGTGAGTGTGAGAGCCGCCCTCTATGGCTGCAGTCATTTTGACGTACAGCAGTGCCTCTCTCAGGGCTGAGGGAGTGTTCCGGAGACAGGGGGCCTGTGGGACCCGGAGCTGATGGAGGCAGGTATGGAAAGGGCCCCCTGGGGATGTGTGTCCAGAAACACTGTTTCTTCTATTTGAGTGATCCATGAGGAGCACCGGCCTGGGCTTTCGGCATTACTGAGGTTTCTACCGCAGAAGCCCGGAAGGGCCCAGACTTGGGCTCATCCTGGGGGTCGACGAGCGAAGTCACAGGGGCCACAGTCCCATCGGCTGGGAGCTGGGAGCTGGGAGCTGGGAGCTGGGAGCTGGGAGCTGTTTTCCTGGCCTCTTGCCTGTAGCGCAGACAGCTGTGGGATACACAGCTCCAGCCTGCGCTGAGCGAGCTCTGGCTGCAGCAGCCTGGCCTGTGTCACACGTCCCAGACATACAGAGCTGCTTTTATACAGCCGCATCTGCAGGCCTTCTGCCAGCGGCCCTGCAGACAACCAGCACTGACAGAAGCGGTGCTCAGTGAGGGATTGCTGCACTGTAGTATTTCTGTAAAATATCTGTAAGTCGTATTACAGGAGAAAACAATTCCTGGTCTTAGTCTTTGCATAATACAGCAGAGAGATGTTGGTCAGTTTTCCATTTTGAGTAACTGCACCAGTGGAAAAAAAGGTATATAGTAAAAAAATTGATCCCTGAGTTCATTAGGGAGAGTGTTTGTGTCAGGGCCCCTCTGTCAGGAGGTTCAGAAAGAAGATCTGCATCTGCAGTCGGGAATGGACCCAAAAACAGGGGGCGAAACTGAGCCGCTGGTGGGACGTGTTCTGTATACAACGAACAGTCCACATAACCATTTTTGCAGGCCAGCTCCCTGATTTATTTAAACAAAAGCTTTCCTTGGCTTAAGACATTTCACAGCTGAGACTGCGCGTAGAACAGGGTTTTCATATCTGTGACGCCTGACATTTGCCAAACACAGACTCTTACATATTTTCCTGCTGAACCTCTCCTTGAAGGGGTCCTTCTCAGAGTCACATTCTTCTGCTTTTCAGTTCCCACCAGCCCCGTGCGGAAGGGACCTGTGCCCCTCAGCTGGCCTGACGCTGTCCTCCGATCAGAATGAAATAAAACTGGACAGGCTGTGCTCCTGGAACTGTAGGCCTTGTTCACCCTTTTCACTTTTCAGCTGTTACCATTGATTTTTTTTAAATGAGGTTTGCTCAGTGGGCTCGCACACTGTAATGGATGCTGCTTAATACCAGCCACTGTAGCTGTGCCAAGGAGTTTGCTTGTTTAGCCTCACGGTAGTATATTAATACTGCAGTCTAGGCAGCTGGGGTTCGACTCCCTGCAGGGGAGTCAGGGCGGCAGCTTCATTACGAATATTAAGAATTAACTGCACTTCTGTAGCGCTGTTAATCCCAGAGGATTTTACAGCACTTTACATATAGAAGAGGACCATTATATCCAGCTCTGAAGCGCCGCCCCCACTGGGGAGACGCTCAGCAGCCCCACTTTCACCAGTTAAGCCCAGAGGGGAACTTAGGCAGGATGCTGGGGTCAACAGACCCAACTCTTCTGAACGATACCATGGGATCCTGTAGGACCCAATAGTGAGAACTTGGGTTTAATCTGAAGGACTCTGCCTTGTCCTCAGCATGTTGTTTCCCAGCCGCCACCCTGGCCACGCTCTAGGAAGTTGTGGTCCAGAGGGAAGAGCACCACCTACTGGTCACCTAACATCACTAAATGGAGCTGATAACGAAAGTTTGTGAGGGATGAAAAAAGCCAAGGTCAATCTGACTCGGCTGTCGGTAATTCTCAATTGCTGCTGATGTCATTTCCTCTCCTCAAACACTGTAAGTACTGGGCGTGACCCCCCCCCACCTCCACCCCTGGGTCAAACCCTGGGTCACTCCTCACTCTGCAGGGGGTCCCAGCCTCCTCGTCCCAGGACTGGGACGTGAGCCCTCAGCCAGGCGGGTTCAGCCGGACCAAAACACTCCATAATCCTGTCGGCGCCCTTAATTCCTGGGTCTTGTTATTCCTAGCGCTGCTGGATAAGGCACACGAGCAATCGAAGTTCCCCGGCTCGAGCAGTGAGGTTCTCCTGACATGCTCATTCGAGGGATGTGCTTTGTCTAACTGGAGGAACAGAAAGGAGGCAGCAGGGTCTCACAGCCCCAGCAGCCTGGAGCCGAGCCCAGCTGAGGACTCAGCCTGGCTGCATCGTTGCCACCCGGGTCAAAGGCCAGGGAAATTTGTTTTATAAACATATATTTTTTTTCCTAACAGGAAAGAGTATTTTTCTCATTTCCATGTTTTACGCTGCTTAACCACGATTCTCCCGAATGGATATGCACCGTCGTCGTGCCGTATCTGAAATCTTCCAGCTGCCCTGCTGTGGGCCTCGCCCCTGTCCGTGACCGCGCGCCTGCACTGCGTCCTCGGGGGCTCTCCGGGCCTGTGCCCTGCGTGGACGTGTGCGAGTCCAGCTTTTTCCTGCTTGTCCGAGCTGACCTGAGGTCCTCAGCTGTTGGTGACCTACAGAGCCTGGTGAGACCTGGTGGACTGCTGCCCCCCACGACTCACAGGTCCACCTTGCAAAATAGGTCTGCGAGTTTTTTTTTCGATTTTCACATCTAAACCTTGAGACATAGGCACTTCCTTCAAGCACTTCAGAGTATCGGTGTTGTATTTAATTAATTATTCTTTATTAAATTGTTTTGTACTAATACTTCTTGTGTGTCGGGTATGACTGATCATTGACTGTGTTCAGCCTTCTGTGGTAGAACTTCTCTTTGCTAAACATTACTGGAAGCTAAAAGCAATTAAGCTCTCTTTATCTCAGTGTGAGGCAGTAGTGGTGTTTTTTTAAAGATAATTGCTCGAGTTCTGTGGTTACGTATGGTGTACAAAAGCATACATACAGGGTCCTTCCATTATTAATTATGTTTCCATAAAAAGATTTGGTTTGTGGGGAATTAGTATGCAGAACAATGTTTTACATATCAGAAAATTAATCTACACAATCTACATAGCAGTTTGAAATAACTGGAGTTTCTAACATCAAATAATTAGGACAGGCCAGCTGAGAATCATCTTGTATGCATTGCAGCTCATTGTAAAATTATCCCTTTGTTAACAATATAGGAAGGTAATTAAAAAGAGATTGAGAGTGTTTCTATTCACTAAAAAACTGTTGCCATTGATTTTTTAAAATCCTATGCTAACTAAAGTTAATTTACAGCTAAAAAGCTTAATGCGTTCTCTATTGTGGGTGTGAGTGAATTATGAATCTGTCTTCAAAATCTGAAAGAAAAAATACAATTGACAATATTACAAAAGTGTATTATTAATGGTTCATGACAGAAATACTGCTTATGTGAGTTACTGCTAAAACCCATGTGAAGATCACTATGTCTGATACCATATTAAATTTATTAAATGTGACAGTCAATATAGAGTAAAACTGTATTCTTCATGCTGCATAAAGTTCTATTTAATATGAATCAGGAAGTTTGTCTCATTAGTCTTTCCTTTCACCAATAGATAAGGTTTTACTGTAATCTGGTGCATAATAATCTAAGATATTTGAAACTAGAAAAGTTATTGCATATTAAAACCACTCATTTGATAAATAATAGACATTTTGTATATGCTTAAAGTCATACTGATATGCGTTTTAAACTTTCTTAAATTAAGCCACAGTCTGTAATACATTGCTTCAGTCATTAACCTTTCGCCTCTCAGAGATACAGGCTGCAATTGCTAACTCTTCCTTAAACCAAACATCAACTTTCTGTATGAGCCACACTTCTTACTTCTTTACACAAAGAGCTGTGGGTGCCTGGAACACCAGTCAGGACTCCGATGCCCAAACTCCGCACGTCTGCAGGAAGTGATTTGATGGAAGTTTTTGTAACTGCTAAACTACCAAACACACATCCTACCTATTGTTTGAATCTTTCGGATGTTCTTAATGAACGGGCCTGGATAATTTGATAAGGACAAAGATGATTGACATTTCAGTGTCTTTTATGCAAGTGTGCCAGGTCTTGTGAAGTGAAAGGTGAGTTATGGTGTCCCTCCGCCGTTTGGATCAGTGGTCCATGTGGACCAGGTGTCTGGAATCCGAGGAGAGCTTAATAAATCCCATTAGGGGACTGTTTTGTTTTTTAAACATGAGACCCTTTGGGCAGATGTCTTTTGGCGATTCCAGTCTTAGTACGCTGTGCTGTTGCTGCAGTAGCCTCTGTGTGGTGGGCAACACTTGGACACGGTGAAGACCCTTGACCTCTAAGACTCCTCACATCATGCCTGATTGTTTTGTACTCCTGCTTCAGTTGATGGCTGCAAATACAGTTTGATGTGGTTACAGACGGCAGCCACATAAACTGATCATACATTTATACCGGTCAAATTACAAGTGGACAAACAGCAGCAACTGTTGAAGCTGTCGTGTGCCCTCCTGATGGTAAAGGGCCACGTGTTAGAAATGTTAAAAATCTGGTTCCTAAAAGCCTACTGGGTGGCGAATTGAAATGCAGAAGAGGCTGTAGGGGCAGCGGAGAGGGGCAGGGGCAGTTGGGTTTGTCCTCAAGGGCCATCTTAGCGAAATGTCACCGTGTGAGGGAGGCCGTATATTACAGACGGCGGTTTAATTCCCTAAACAGGCATTTAGAATTAAACAAACAGGGGCGAAATCCCCCTGTGAGACAGGGCTGATAATAATAATAATAATAATAATAATAATAATAATAATAATAATAATAATAATAATAATAAACTTTATTTTATATAGCGCCTTTAAAGGTGGCTTCTCAAAGCGCTTAAATATTTGATGAATGATGAATATTTACAGGCCCTGGGCTTGCAGCCTCTCTTTTATCACCCCGCCCCACTCTTAAATCTCACAGGCCTGTCGCCAGCGCAGAGCCACCCCGAGGCCCGGCTCTCTCCACGCCGCGCCGCTTGGCCGGGGAGCGAGGGAGCGCGGGGGCGACTCGGGCCGGCTGCATCGGATGTCGGATGCAGCGCTGGGATCCCCACCCTCTGCATCGCACCTGTCCCGGGCACGGCCCTGGGCCCCCTGCTCCGGACAGCTCCGCGCTTTAAAAGGCTGGCAGTTCTGGGGTGCAGTTCTGCTTGCCCTGGCTGTGTCTCGTAAACATATCTGGAATTGAGCTGGATATAAAATAGTATAGTATTTACCGACTACACCCTGGTCCGGCTCTGCTGTCTAGAGGCCAGGTCTCCGGATGAGCAAGACTGGCCCCGGTCAGCACCGGTCAGCAACTCCAAGGAAAACCAGGTTTTTGCGGTTAGTGGTGTTGGTGGACCAGTAGGTGGCGCCCTTCCGTCTAGATGAGAATTTCCCAAACAGTCCCCAGTATGGCGACCGGGGACACTGTACTGTGTGGGGAGGGGGGTTCATCCTTTGCACGAAACCTTAACTCAGTATCCTGGATAAATTCCACTCTGGGATTGTAAGATCCGGCCATCGTGTGGTTCCCCCTTCATCTTGTCTGCTGTGCCATGGGGTCGCTGGTGCAGAATGGCTGCCAGGTGTCACCCAGGCGGGGCTGCACAGAGGTGAGCCACGGGGGTCCCTGTCCTTGTGATGGGAACCTCTGTGTGAGCGCGGAGGAACTGCAGTTAGAGCTATTAGCATTCACAACACGCCAAGCCGCGCACCCAGGTGTCGCAAGGTTGCACTTTGTTTAGTTTTGCCCCCACCGAGTCGCCTCAGACAGCTCTCGCCGAAGCGCAGCCCCTCGGTTGTGCGGTAATGGAGCGCGTGGGCGAGGAGCGACTAGCACCCCGCCGGTAGACCTACGATCCCAGTAGAAAATCTGTGTGTGGGAGGCCTGGGTGGTCACCTGTCTGTCAGAGCCGCAAGGAGATTTTTTAGAGAAATGGAAAGGGCGATTACCTTTAGTAGGTAAATTCCCTTAAGGGCCCACATGCTGCTCATCTACCCCCCACCCCCCTCCCAAAAAAAAGGCTTTCTTCTCTGGATTTCAGGATAAGCCCCGTAACCAGGAGTCCATGGGTCGAGGTCCAGGTGTGTCCCAGAATCCCCAGTGATGGTGCTGCTGGAATTGTGTTGGACGAGGGTGCCTGCAGGTTGGGTTGGGCCAGGCCTGGGCTCTGGTACGGAGTTGTGGCAATGCCAGAA